AGCCCATCTTCCGTAGGAAGTCTTTGGAACACAACAGAAAATTGCTTTCAATAAATCAGCCTATTCTTTCCAGTATATATGAATATTATTACTTATTATATTTATTTTTTTGATAATATGTTTCACTATCTGTATTTCCCCGTGAATTATATTATTTAAGACAAGGAAATACACCTTACTCATTTGAGTGTGTACCACAGCATTTTAAATAAATTATTGATTTAATGAATTAGGTTTGGTTTTAGAGACGCAACTTGTAATGTTAATACAACATGGAATAATTTCCCAAACTGAATTTCCAAAAGATTGTGCAAATCCTCAAAGTTGACTATAATCAACAACTTGATTAATTGTAGGATTACTTTACTTATAATCAGGAGTTCATATGTAAAATGATATTGTGTGCAAAAAGCACAGATTCTTCTATTTCAATGAATATTTCTCAAAATGTATCCTACGAACAGAATCAGTTAGGGATGATTGTTAAAAATCAGTGCAGATTATTTGGCCCCATTTCAAACCTTCTGATCAGAGTCCCTGGGGCTAGAAGCCAGGAATTTGCATTTTTAATAAGCTTCCTTGTTGATTCTTCAAGATACTAAAGCATGAGAGCCACTCATCTAAAAGCTTACATGAAATAACTTGAAAACTCTACTTTGGCGGTAGCAAGCTGTCAATTTGTGTTCCACACTGAATCTGTTACACGGAGGTACTCTACCAGATGAGAATCAGCACTTTTTTTTGCAGACTAAGACGACTCCTATTTGCTAAAGTAAATAATAGCAAAATTAATAACGAGCTATAAATTGTACTAAATGCTGATAACTTGAAATCTCCAAAATGGAATAAATTACTGACTATTGCACTTTAAATGGACATTAAGAGTGTTCCAAATTACCGAATGTTTTGCCATGTTGATAAATTGGTTTTAATTTTTTATCAGACTATATTTAAGTACCCTCCCGTAGCATGTGCCAGACACTTCCATTAGGCATTCTCAATTGCATTTATTTTCTTTAATGTATAAACTATAAACTAAAGATAGTTTGGAGAGTCTGACACCCTACTCTGTCGCACTGCTGAAATAGTGTCCCCTGGGTTTGGGGCTGTGTTTACGCTGTAAACCCTAGGAAAAAATATGAAAGTGCAAAGAGAGCGTAAGTTAGAGCATCATTATTCTTTGATTTGATTTTGCAAACATTACTCATGAATACAAAGAGAAAAATAAAAATTGCACCTGGTTAAAATGAAACAATTTGATGAGGAGTGAGAGGAAATTTGTTCCACTTTATGCAAAAAGGTGGGGGGAGGGTTGGCATATAATAAAGGCACTCAAGTCGTGAGAGTCTAAGAGAGCATAATTAACTCCTTGGCACCATGAGATCGACTCTCCCCGCCTGTGGTTCATTGCCAGTAAAGGACATGCCTGGAACCGCTGGCCAAGAAGAATTACAGGCATTTGCTGTTACTTTAAAATATTCATGTTTCAGCTACAACACTGCATATTTCCAACTGACAGATATGGGGAAAAAATAAACTTCTTTTTTTTCTTTCCCTTTCCTCGCATAAGAACCCTACATAATTAACTCTTTCATTTAACAAAACTAATAGTTTCCATTACAACTATAGATTTAGGGCACTCAGAATTTTGAAATCAACCTATTACATGAGTTTATTGCTTTTTTAAATAGTATCCAAATTTGGAGAATGTATTTACCCACTTAGATTTGATTGATGCAAATTAATGCATTTTGTTTGAAAACCAAACACAAGGGTGAAAACCACGGCAATGGTGGATGGAATAGCCCATTCAGGCACTCTTCTCCTTAAACTGGAAATCAAAAATGCACAAAACCAGTGATTAGAACTTTAAAGATTTCAGAGACCCAAAAAATAGCCTGACAATCAGATCCTAAACACCATGCATGTGTTCCAGAGGCAAAATAAAGATGGTAATACAGAAGTTAGACACACCTAAGCAAAAATCATTTTTAAATTTGTTCTTCTTTCATTTCTCTTCCTATTGAAAGGAATTTCCTTCCTCTTTTCTAAAAAAAAAACTGAAATAGTTTCACAAGAGTCAGATTTAATGCGCCCTAAGACTCAGCATTAAGGAAGAAAAGAAAAAAGTTACGTAATGGCTTTTCTCGTAGGTTACTAGGGCATCATTATTGATGCTGGGTGCTTTGTGTATCAAGAATCAAAAGGCAAAGATCACTGCTTGCAGCATGAACTATATATTTGAAGAGTGAGCCTATGACTGACAATCCGATATTGTCCCTGAAGGGGGTATATGAGGATAATATTCCACTATTTTCTTTGATGAAGCTCTGCATCTTATTCTCTGAATTTATTCCCTTCATCCCATGCTTCAGGTTGATCACCTGGGACTTTTATCTAAGTGCCACTACAAATTCCCCCTCCCTCCCACCACCACACCTCATCATATAGAACAACCCAACAGCAGGTATACAACCACTTTGTCTTTATGGTTCAAAAGCCAGCACAGAGCCTTACAGTGGCAAATGCTCGTCATACGCAGGTTGAATGAAAATTAAGTATCTCCTTTCTGCAGAAATCTACCATATTAAATGATTATAATTTCTACAATCCACTTTACCCGTAATACAGATCCTTTATCAGGCTGGTTTATGGTATTCCATGAGACCCTTAACAAAACTTATATTTATTAGGAATATTTTTGTCACCAAACTGTACTTAATAATGTGCTCCATTGTTGTTAGAATACAAGGCATGGTCATTCGGGAAGTGTCGCATTTGTTTTCCAAACTTACATGGTTATTACTCCCTTTCAATAAAGTACCACATGATTTAAATTCAAAATGTGATATTGGTCACTTAGAGTAAACAACTCAGTAATAATGATGGGGGTAACATTTCAATAGAACTTGACAGTTTTCAAGGCTTCTCGTGGGTTACCTCCTTTGAGGTTCATAATGGCCACTTATATACAATGCCAACATCATTCCCATTTAAAGAGGAAATCGAATACTTTAATGGACCATACAGTAACCATACCTTAATCTATCTGTGCAAATGGAAAGGGAAATTTACACTTTAAAAATTACTCCTGAAGTTATCTCTATTTTAACTAAATGTGTTACTCCATTCTTCATAAGAACTTTGTGCTTTTTTTCAAAAAGGAGAGAGCCCTAGCTCAAACATTAAAAAAATGACAAGAGTAGTCCAAGTATGCAATTCTTTTCATTACTTACAAATAATTGGGCTAAATTAATTTTTAAATGCACGCAAAATAATATGAAACTCTTATTGATGAGATTTCTAGTAATGGTTAGCCCAGATTTTCTACTATGGAAGATTCACAAACACTGGGAATCAAGGACATAATTTTTAAGGGAAGGTTGAGCTATGAGTTCTATGAAAATTTTCAATTTCGGACTTTCATTTTAATGGCTAGCTTTAAAAATCATTTTGCAGGTTATAAACACATAAGTCTTTGCTTGAACAAAGAATTTACAATTTAAAACTTCTGTCTCAGTCAGCTTGAGCTGCCACAACAAAATACCATAGACTGGGTGGTTTAAACAACAGAAATTTATTTTCTCATAATTCTAGAGGCTAGAAGTCCAAGATCAAGGCACCAGCTGATTTGGTTTCTGGTGAGAGCTCTCCTCCTTACTTGCAGATGGCCGCCTTCTCCCTAATCCTCACATGGCCTCATCTCTGCAAATGCGGAGGGAGAGAGAACAGAGAGCAAACAAGCAAAAGAAGGCACTCTGATATCTCTCTCGGGAAGACATTAGTTTTTTATAACACTAATCCTCCTGGATGAGGGCCCCACCTTTATGAACCCATTTATCCTTAATTACTTCCTTAAAGACCCCATCTCCAAATATAGTCCCACTGAGGGTTAGAGCTTCAATACATGAATTTGGGTGGAGGGGTACGAAGCCATTGTTTCTCAAAATGAGGATTCTCACACGTTTTCCTCTAATAAGAGCTTTGAATACTATTTAAGTTTGATGAAAGTGGAATTATTGTATTGATTCATTCAAGGTATGAACTATAGCACAGTGGTTAAAAGTATAGGTGCTAAGAGACTGCCTATCTGGTTTTGAATCCTAGCTTTGTCCCTTCCCATGTGTTGTAGGCAATTTACCTAATTATCTTGCTTCAGTTTCCTCATCTATATAAGAAGAATAACAGAAATAATCTATATTAATATCATTGTAAGGATTAAAGAAATAATCCTTAAAAGGATTTAGCACAATGCCTTGGCGTGTCATAAGCACATAAGACGTATTCTTAATAATATTATCAAAATGATGCTACTCTTGTCCTGAAAGCACAGCATCAGATTTGCAGTACACAGGCACGGTCACCTCAATTGGTCAAATTTTCACTTCTCTTCTTTCTGTAACTCACATGTTCACGCTCCATTTATTCTCCACTGGAAATTATTCTGCGTTGATTCCATCTACAGGCTGGTTCTCTTAAACAATGACTCCTCTTAGTAGATGAAGGTGCTCCTTACCTATATAAATACACTCTGCCCCTAAATATTCTTTTGGTTTTGATATCTGGCTTTTCAAACATATCCCCATCAATGATGATTGGACATTTTCCCGAGAGCTTATGGAATAACTTGAAAATTTCACAGTCTATGAGTAAGGAGCAAAAGCAGGCCACAATACATGTAAATGCTACTGGCTTTGGCATCATGGGAAGTACACTTACTATTTTGGGGTCTTAGTGCAATGTTGTAGGCATTCAGTAACAACATCCAAACACGAGCGATTTTAAGAGATTTTAAAAGGCCGGCCCAGTTGCACAGTGGTTAAGTTAGTGCATTCTGCTTTGGCGGTCCGGGGTTCACCAGTTCAGGTCCTGGGTGTGGAGCTATGCACCACTCATCAAGCCACGCTGTGGCGGGCAGTCCATATATAAAATAGAGGAAGATGGGCACAGATGTTAGCTCAGGGTCAATCTTCCTCAGCAAAAAGAAGAGGATTGGCAGTGGATGTTAGTTGAGGGTCAATCTTCCTCAAAAAAGAAAAGATTAGTGAGCGTAGTTTTCCCAATTTAAAGGTTGAGAATGACTTTGTAGAGTAACCATAGTTTAGTCTAAATATTTTAATCAGTGCTTTGTTTAGCCTGTGGATATTCTTAGCAAATCACATTCTTAGCGAATTAAGGGCATCCATAGCACAATTCTTTGACTTTTGAGTATCCTTCCTCTACGCATACGTCTACCTATCTACTCATCTACCTTAGACTTTCCTTCTTCTTCTGTCTCCTTGCTATCCCTGTTCTACGATGAGAAGTGGGTGAGATCCGAGAGGATAGCTTTGGGGTATGGGGTCTATCATGTTAATGCTTATGCAGTGTTGAATTTTGTCCTCTCTCTATGATGCTGTTATCGCTTGGAAGACAGAAAAACGGGTGATCTCTCCTTTATGCACTACATACCTAACGTTTCTGATCATCTTTTTTCCTAACATTGTTTCCAATTTTCATGGCAAAATCTTATAAAAAACGCTGTCAATAATTTCTCCTCTGGCAAGGCTTCCCATCCATGCTTGGTGCATTGCAGTCTGGCATGCAAATGTGCAGTGCGGTATGCACCCCAAGTCTGTATCAGGTGAAAGATTGTGACCTGGAGACCATTGAGCATGGGGGGGATATCATAAGCATATCTATTTACTATGCCTGGATTCTTGTATTCAATCTAGTCAGCTAACTCAGGAGTTACTGGTATTTAAAATTAGAAGGACTTCTTCATCTATCTAATATTTGAATTTCCTTTAATTTTGTGGGAATTACCTCTTAGGTTTTCTGCAAACTAATACAGACCAAGGATATCCATGATAAACCTTCTGTTATATTTCTTTTGGTGAATTTCCCCTCCACTATCCTCTTCTTTCTATTGGCCCCTCTCTCTTGCTTCTTAAGAGTTCTCTGGTTTTTCTAGCATCCTGCTCTGAAGACATTGTTGAATGCCGGGGACCTAGGTTCCAGTGTCCCCTCCATCCTTTATCGGCATATGATCTCGTGTAAATTATTCAATATCCTTAGACCTGGATATTATCCATAAAAGGAGAATACTTCATTTGCCTAAAGATAGCCCCAAGTGAATTCTTGGCTTCTCTTCGCTCTAAACTATTTCAATGATCTGTTTCCACAAAGTGATTCTCTACCCCCAGGTATCCTTGCTCTAGTGGACTTACGTCTTCATTTGAGTCATCTGCTTCTCCAAAGCATCTAGTGACCTCATTTGCAACAAAATTGCATTGAACACCTATATTCAAAGAAATGTGAGAAATTGTTTCTTCCCCAAGAGGAGCCTGTACTCTACTTGAAAGTAAACTGTAAACAATTTTTAAAAGATCAATATGTACCAAGTGTTATGTGATCTGTCCCACTTAGTGATATAGTAATAGATGCCTTAAGATTTCAGAGGGCTAGGCTGATAATAGAAGTCGTCCAGAGGAGGTGGGATTCCAGTTGGGCATATGAAGTATGCTACGACGCAGAGCAATGGACAGATACCATGAATGTGTGCCTGGCTGGGAAACAGACGCAACAAAGGTCAGAAGCTGAATAATAGGAGTTCTTTGCTGGTTTGGCTGGAGTGTCATGGTTACAGGAAAGTGAGGGAGATGCACTATTTAACCAGTTAGACCTGGGCTGTCTGCTACCGTAGCCACTAACCACGCATGGCTATGTAGATTTAAATTGTAATTAATTAAGATAAAAGAAAATTTAAAATTTACTCCCTCAGTCACATAAGCCACATTTCAGTTGCTTAATAGCTAGACATGACTACCATATTGGATAGTACAGATGGAGAACATTTCCATCACCACAGAAAGTTCTATTGGACAATGCCAGAGAAGACTTTTCAAGTACCTAGACTTTTATGTGTACATAGACAACTTTTCTTCCCAATGAACAGTGATCACTGTTCACCCTGAGAACTCCCTCATTATACCTGTAAGGCAGTGCTAAGGAATTTTCAAATTACTTTTAAAGGTCTTAAACCTGAATTTGTAAAAGGTCTTTTTGGGGTGTCTGCCTTACGCATATCCTGTCTTTGAAAATTCTCTTTCTCCTTGTTCCCCAAAAGAATGGGTCAAGGATGAGCTTGCTTTACAGGATCTTTTGCAAGGATCTTTTACAGGATCCACTCTTCTCCTGTTTTTGAGAATAAGAATGGATACTTGGTCTCTGGCCAATCAGATTAACTCTCTTGGGGATTTAGCATTGGCACAACTAGACATGTGACAGTTGTCAGGAGCCCTGGATCTGGGACCACGCCACTCTTAAGCTAGTTCATCATTTCCCAATTTGTACAGAGATCAAAAAGAAGATAGTAAATAGCAGCACTTCTTACCCTGAACCCAGGAATAGAATTCAGGGAGCTTCATGAACTCGGAAGGGAAAAAGAGTACATTGGTTTCACCAGCCTCTAACCATATTACTAATTTAGGCAAAACTAGAGTAGTACTGGCAATACCTATGATTTTATTTCCAACAGAAATTACTGATATTTTCACGTCAGAACCCTCAAAGAATTTATACACATTTTGGAATTATGGTAGTTAGTGATACAATGCCAGATCTTCTTATTGACTACATTGTAAAGAAGTATGTATGTTAATATATTGCAAAAATTTACATCAAAAAATCAAATTTAAAATTAATATTTTATGATTGTGTTTTAATATGCCTGGTTTCTTTTTTAATCCTATATCATGTATTTTATACACTGAAAGTATTTTCTGAGAAGAATTCCACGGGTTTCTTCAAAGGGCCAAGGGCACCCATAGCACAAAAATGGCTAATAATCATTCGTTCACACAGACAGGAAAGATGAGGTAGATATGAGAAAGGAGCAGGGACGAGAGCCCGAACTCCTCTGGAGAGGAGATTCTGATGCATTTCTACTTTCCGTTTTCAATATGGTCTCCATTTTGCTTGAGCTGGGCTGAATCCAACTTCAAGACGCCTTCACACCACCAGTGTCAGCTGACATCATAATTAGCCCAGTCGTTTCATTGTTGTCCAATGAAGAAGTTTATCACACAAGAAAAATGAATCCATTCAGGTAAAGCCAGGTACAGATTAGACTTCCAAGCCATTAGAGCCCTTCCAGAACTAAATAGTAAATCACCACTTCTTAAGTAACCCCAACTCTTTTTAGACCAGTTTCTTGGGCTATAAAAATAACTCCCTAGGGAAAAGAAATGCACTGGAGTAGGCTGACGGCCAAAATCCATTATGCTTGCTGAAACGCAGAGCTACTCCAAGTGTCCCTGGTTTTTTGTACCAAACAAGCCTATAGAAGTTGATTGAATTTTATAGACTTTCTTCCTGGTTCTATACATCATTTATCCTGTGTCCTCTCACACCATAACCATTGACTTTTCTCTTCGGACTAGTACAGAATCTCACCTCTCTTTTCTACAAACAAAAAATTGCTTGTGATATTTTTCTACTCACTCAGAAATATCCACTTAAATTTTTATTTCTCATCGGTTGCTTAATGACTGTAGTCCAAACGACATTTGAAATCACAAGTCAAAGTTGACTCTCTAGATCTCCAAACAAAAGCCATCCTTGGAAAATTAGGAAAGAAAAAATGAGAAGGGAGTAGAGACAATTCAAATTTTTATTTTGCCATATTTAAATATTTAATTCTGCTTTCTTCTATTAGCACTTACTTCCCAGTAAGGTGTGTGCTGGTCTAAATTAATCTGTCACATACCGTCTGTTTGAGCTGGCACAGCAAGGTAGGCCTTGAACTGCCTGTACCTCCTGTAATAAGTACCTCTGTTCTCTTTTCTCTCTTCTTCCAGAAAACTGAAAACGCTACTGGAGGTTCTCCTTCTACGGGATTCAGCTTAATTTCTATTAAGCCTGGAAAAGAAGGACTTGATCCCTGACGGCTTAGGCAGGGTGTGGAGATGCACACTTGATCATACGTACTTTATCACCAGCTGCAGCATAAGTTGGGTTCACAAGCTTGCTTTTTAAACAAGAAAATCTGCATCATTTATACCACGGTGCTAATAAATTTAATTTGTCAAGTTCAAGACTCTAAGGACATTGTGTTGGTGTTGAATAGGTCAAGAAGATTTCGTGTGGGGGTAGAATATGGAGGAGGAAGAGTGTGGAATATGGAGGAGAGGGCAGACTCTCGGCAATAGAGCAAGGGCACTGACTGTCTCGGGGGTGAGAGATAAAGCACAAGATAAGGTTGAGAAGGGAATGTGGATATGCAAACTTTGTGTAGTTTGCAAGTTTCCCAAGGGCTTTATTGGCAGAGCGCATATATTGTTGCAAAAGAAGTGAATTACTAATTTGAAATATTGCCATCCTGTGTCAAGATAGTCCTGCTCTTCTCCTGGGAGAAGGGGGAGAAGCAGCACGAGTCCAGAATACACGTCTGAGTTAATCGCCACTAAATGTTCACACGGGGCACAGGCCCTGGAATTGTGTAGGTGCTAATACTGATGAAAGGAGGACCCGCTGTCAGTATTACCTTTCTCCTCTGTGTTACTTTGACACTAGAACACAGTGTAATGAAGGACATGGTCTACATCAGGGGTTATCAAACTATGGCGTTTGGGTCAAATCCAGCCTGCTGTCTGCTTTTGTCAATAAAGTTTTACTGACACATGGCCCTTCTCATTTGTTTACATATTGTCTGTGGCCGCTTTCACACTACGATTTGCATATCGAGTAGTTGTGAGAGAACATTTGGCCCTGTGGAGGTGAAAATATTTACTATCTAGCCCTTTAGCAAAACGATTTGCTGAATCCTTGTCTACACTGAGGGATTAAGAGTTTTCCCTGAGGTCAAAATAATTTGAGAATCATTTAGAAGAACCTTGGGATGCTTCAGGGCAGTGCCTAGAACCAGAAGAGGGCTCTAGTTCTCGCTGAGGGGTCTAGACAAGGGAGACCAGGGAGGTAGAAGGTTATCAAAACAAACCTGTTTCTGACCTCGCTTAGTAACAACTCCGCTTGACCTGTTCTCCACAGACTCTGGGCATCCCCTCTCTCTTTAAGGATTAAGAAAAAAACACTGCTGAAATACTAAAAGGAAAGATCCCTATCTATTATCTGAGCGATGGGTGCAGGCAATGCTCTCTGATTGAATTAATTTACCCTCCAAAACAGGGGATTTCATTTGGGCCCACACTTCATTTCATATTGCAATGCACAGACTTTGTCATCAACAAGCTTTGATAGGAAGGTGGAAAAAGGAAATTTTGTCACCTTCAGTTTCCCAAATTCAGACAATGAGTGGCAAACTCAGAAACTTTCTTCCCTCCCTCATAGGTGCCAAAAATACTAAGTATGGCTATGTTTAAAAGTCATGTTAATTTCAGCCACTTATGTGCACTGCTCGTCTCTTATGCCATTATTATTATGTAGCACAATTACAATTATTAACACCATTAAAGATGTATACATTAACTTGCCAATGATTTTACCTTCCTCTTGGGCAATATGCAAAGTGGTTGGTGCGTCACTCTGAAAGTCAGAGATCTCTATTAAAGTCCTGATTCTTTCGTTTAATCCTGTGTCATCTTCATAAGCAAACTTCTTTTAGTTTTAATTTCTTTATCTGTCAAATGAGGTTAAGAATAACTTACCAAATTCACAAGCTTGCTGTGGGTATTAGAAAAGATGGTATAAGAGATGATGAATATGAGGTTACTGATATTTTGCTCTTGGAGCCTGGGGGCCATTCCTCCTAAAACAAAGAAAAGAATAAAATACAAAAGAAAAGAATTAGTAACAGTTGGAAATATTCTGCCTTCAGAATCTCCCTCCCACTCACCACCACTCATTCACCTCCGGCTGAAACCACTCCCAACGTGCAGAAGAGCTACATGGGGTCCCTCTCTACCCAAAGCCAGCCCCCACTGCAGAAAATACTGACTTTGGTTTCAAAACAGTTGAATATGTGAAAGACTATATTTTACAAATGATTGCAGGCGAATTCTTAGACAGAGAATCAATGTCAACACGTATATGCTGATCTAAAGAAAGAGAAACGGCTTGAAAGCAGTTGACTTTGAAATGAGAATATCCCAAAAATGAGGTTTCTTGAGAAGTTGCAGGGATACATTTTGTTTGTTCTGGCAGCAGTTTTTAGGTTCCAGGTGGTGTTGTTGCTTTAACGTAGCATCTACAATGATAGTGAATAGCACTTTTATAAAATAAGACTTCTATCAATAACTTCTAATAACAAAAACCCAAGTCACCCCGTTTCATGTATTAATGAACTTTCAGTTTCTGAGAGGGGAATTTTAAAACTTGTACCTCAAGGATTATACAAATTTCAAATTTAAACTAGTAAAAATATTTCTGCATATTTCTGGAAGTAGTCAACCCTGTTAACGTCCACTTAAAGCCCAATTATTCAAGAATGTTATAGATAACTATGGGTCTTTGGGGAAAAATCAGCAAGACTTTAAGTGCCCATTAGCTAAAGCTAAATGATAGTGAAACATCTAGAAAAGAGCATGTGGTATCTATCCCTGTGAATACTAAATGAACCCACCATCCTAGCCCAGCTAAAATATTAACAAAACGGGGGCCAGCCCAGTGGCGTAGCTGTTCAGTTCACACATTCTGCTTCGGCGGTCAAGGGTTCACCAGTTTGGACCCAGGGTGTGGACCTGTGCACTGCTTGTCGACCCACGCTGAGATGGCATCCCACATGTAAAGTAGAGGAAGATGGGCACGGATGTTAGCTGAGGACCAGTCTTCCTCAGCAAAAAGAGTGGGATTGGTGGCAAATGTTAGCTCAGGACTACTCTTCCTCACACGCAAAAAAATAATAATTAATAAAACCTTTCCTATGGTGTGAAAAAAAGATTGAAGGTTGAAAACAGAAAAGCTGTTAGGCTATGCTATTTGTCAAAAAAAGATACATTTAAAAATATTTACGGAATGTTAACTAAATACCAAAGGATTACTTAAAATGTTTACATTTTTTAGAAGTATCTGTTCTGTAACAGAATAGGTAGCTATTATATTACAAAATTCTTCAATAGTAGTGTTCTTAATAAGCAACCGGAAATTTTTAACATAAGGAATAAAAGACAATTAAATGCTAATCAATCAAAAATATATACTTAGTACCTATCAAGTTCAAGAACTATTCTTGATGCTCTAGGCAGACTTCACAAAATGAATAGACTTTTTTCCCGCTCCAGATTTATACAGTCCAGTTGGAGAGGGGAAAACATATAGATATATAGATATAGATATAAAGATATATATACATATATAAAGAAATCTTACAGTATAAGGATGTAAAAATAACTGCTGACATTTATTGGGTCCTCACTACAGACCAGGCACTGAACCGAGCACTTTATAGGGACCATCTTATTTAACTTTTACAGGAATCTGTGAGGAAATGCCTATTATTATTCCCGTTTCACAGATGAGGAAACTGATGATCAGAGCGATCAAATATCTAGCGCACAGTCACCTAGCTGGGAACCATAGAGTCAGATTTCAAGTCCAGCTCTGTCAATGTCACCCTCTCAGCATTTTATAAGTTCCCTGTAGTAATTAAGATGTAGGCTCTACAAGCGGGTCCCCCATTTTGAATTGTAGCTTTTCCCACTCCCTGCTGTGTGACCGGAGGCAAATGTTTTAACCTCTAGTAATAGTAATAGGTTTCAGATGGTTAGAGGTGAGTTTGGAGAAGAGGGCCATGGGCACACAGAGGGAGACGCGGGGATGTACGGCCCAGGGATGCTGGCTGGAGCAGACATTGGATGCTTCAGAACCATAGGAACTAAGCCTGGAATCGGGGAGAAAGCAGATTGTAGTGGGTCTTAAATGGAAAGGCATGGGATTCTCATTTCATCCTGTGTATAATTGGGAAGCACTGGAATTGAAAATACCAGCTGGAATTAATATATTCTCCATTACTTCTCTATGATTAGGCATGAACAAAAATACTACCCTGAAACTTCCTGGGTCTGTGTCCTAAGGGACTCATTTTAAATACTTACACATAATACAAGGTAAATATTGATATGTTTATTGTATATTTCTATAGAGTATTAATTCAAGGCATATGTTAAAATATCTAGTAAATAAAATAGTTAATATATCAAATACAATAAAGTATGCACAAACCTCTTCACATACCCTGCCTTGAACCCCCAGCAAATGAGATGGGAGGGAAATAGCAACAGATGTAAATTTACGGAATAGTCTTACTGAATAACTTGTTATTCTGAATAACTTATTATTTTCTAAGTTAGCTAATTTGATTAATAGTCAGTAGACATACAAAGACAGACTTTGGCAGGCAGCTCAGTATCCCAAGAAATATATTTTCCACGTTATCCTATATATAGCAGTTAAGTAAATACATTTTTACCTCTCTCATGAGACCAGCCTTTGAAAACTAACTCAATGTATTTAGTTTGTGAGAAAATACGCTGCCTATATTCTCATGGTTTTCCCATCATTTATCCTTCAAAGGTCTTCGCGTTTTTTAGCTATTGCTGGTTGTCTCTCTAAATTCTATACAAAACTTCATATGTGGGATTAAAACTTTAAGCTCCACCTAAGATGTGAAGAAAACACGAATGCTACTGTGACCCGTTCTTTTATTATTTTTTAATTTTAATTTTTTTTTTTTTTGAGAAAGATTAGCCCTGAGCTAACATCTGCCACCAATCCTCCTCTTTTTGCTGAGGAAGACTGGCCCTGAGCTAACATCTGTGCCCATCTTCCTCCACTTTATACAGGGGATGCCTGCCACAGCATGGCTTGACAAGCAGTGTGTAGGTCCGCACCCAGGATCCAAACCAGTGCACCCTGGGCCGCCAAAGCGGAACATGTGAACTTAACTGCTACACCACTGGGCTGGCCCCATATGATCTGTTCTTTTAAATATGCAAAGTATTGACATTGTTTGCTAAAGTCATTTCTGAAAAATAAACAATCTTGTCTCACTTCCTTCTAAATGGCTTAAGGTGTTTTAATTGATTTTATTTTATTTCACTTCAGTAAAGTGTAATTATAACAGCAGAATCTTCAAAATGTTGAGTTGAGGAAAATACTGCACTTCTTACAGATGGCCGATGTAAGACATGAAGATATTTTATAATTTTTCACTCCTAGGCAGAAATAGAAAGACAAGAGTCTCGCCTCTCCTCCTTTTTGCTCTATCCTCTTTCTTCTGAAATTCTATTAAAATTTTTTAGGCTAAAAGACCCTAGAGATGAACTAAGAAGAAGTTTCCCGCATTATGTTTTCATTTGATTTTTTTAAGGGGGGAGAGGGAGTTGTTCCATGATCAAATAAGTTTGAGAAAAGTTTCCTATAAACAAAACAAAACTTTTAATATGTCCATGTACATTTGTGAATCTAAAAGTGAGGTAATAGCGGTAGTATTTTTAAACTGACTCTACCCTTTCACAGACACCTGGCAGGACCAGCGTTCCAAGGAACGCGCTCTGGAAAGCGCTGTGGTGGACCCACAGAGGGCACCTCCATTTTCTCTGGGGGTTGAGGGGAGGCCCCACTTGAGGGAGAACTGGTTTCTTGAGTTGTTACTTTCTTAATGTGACCTGTGGTAACCCAAAGAACAACCGCCATTCAACGAAAGGAATCTTCCCCTTCCGGTTTTTGACACAAAGCACCAAGCTCCCTTTCCACCTCAGGCCTTGCTCCAGCCGGCCTCCTCACTCGACTGTGTTCCGAGCGACTTCGGAAATGAAATTCCTCCCGTCTGCAGAGACTCGAGTCAGCGCTTGAAGGAGGGCCAGGGCAGTTAATCCAGTTAATGGGGGCAGGTTCCTCCAGGCATTGTCCCAGAACCTGTCTCCTTGGTGATGCTGTGGGCCTCTCGGCAAAGGCCGCTGCACTCCCCCGCTGGCTCCTCTGTCAGCACTTTAATTGGGATTTAGTTTCAGAAGAAGAAAAGAGGCGGGGACACCATACAAACTGGGTCTTAAAAGGGAAGGAAAACTTTGACATCGCAGGTCTTCAGGAACGAAAAAGGCAATGAGTCATAGACTCTTCCATGTTGCTCAATTTTGCTATGTTGCTTCGCCAATTTGGCTTTAACCTCCCAAATTTAAAATGAAAAAAATACCATTTACTTGTTTCGTCTCATGCTGAGAGGATTTAGTGAAGTAATAACACCCATTACAATTTGAGCCTCCCCTTCCTACAAGTTTATACCTTCGGGCGAGTCACTTAACCTCTCTGGGCCTCAGTTTTCTGCAAAATGGTGACGATAATGAGTTCGCAAGCTACTTCTTAAGGTGACAGTGAGGAGCTAACGAAGATGAATGGCCTTTAAAAATTGTATATTATCGTATACCTTTGGGGAATTTTTTTAAAACCAAACTACATTTTTAAAAAAGCAAACAAAAATCTTCCTTTACAGTATTTATGGGAAAAATTCAAGTCATTTTAGCTGATCTTCATAGAGTTGGGCTTCCTGTCGCTGTCAAATGGAAAATAAAATTTGTAAGATAAATTTGGGGCATTTTGGGGCATAATGGGAGCCTCCATCAACTGTCCAAACAAAATACATATGTATACATTAAAACAGTTGTTTCTTGAAGCTCTCGTTTCTTGGTTCTGTTTATTGAAAGCATTCATCTAAAGATGCTGTAACGGTCAAGGATAGGGTCATTATACCTTCATACCTGGGTCACTGTGTTCCACATCCTTTGAGACACAAAAACACATGTCTCTCAATCA